ATGCATAAGTATATATATAAGTATATATATATTTGTTTTTGGCAACGGGCAAACAACCTTTTCGTATTTCTTACAATTGTTGCCACACAAATGTTTGCAATGAATTTTAATTAGTCTTGCTTCGAGGCTGACAAATCAACATTGAGCACCTACAAAACACTTGACAAAAACTGTTATTGGCCCGCCCGGCACCTGGCCAGGTTCTGTCACTGACCGCAGCCGTAACCAAAAGTCAAAAAATTTAAAGAAAAAAATCGAATTCACTTTCTACTTTTTCTGCGACTTCAACCTTAAAGCCGAATTGCTGGCTGACGCATGCGCGGCCACAACAACCTGGAACTGGGTCACACACCAGCACACACACACACACACACACTCTCACACATACACACTAAGTTGGCTCTCTTTCAATTTAAATAAGGAATCTTTTTATGCTCGATTTTTTATTTGTTTGCCTTTGCATTAATTAACTATTTGTTGACTGGTTTTAAAACGGTTTTATAAGACACCTATATTATTTTTTTTTCTTTTTTTTTTTCGAATTTGATTTGAAGTCTTTGGGTCAGTGGAGCAGTCGAGAGATGCTTAAATAGCCTAAACTGAACTGATTGGATCGTAAAATGCAGCTTAAAGCTAACTTAAACGATTAATTTAACAACAGTCGAACATTTCCGCTGATTGCAACGTGTTGATATCAAAGTAATCCAATCGTGACTTAGCTACTATTTTGTGTATTATTTGGAATTTGTAGAGTGTTAAAACATGGTTTATACATATATATATATATAAATCATCGACTACTTTTCCTTTTGGCGCTGGCTTTCATTTAACTACATATATTCTATATACGTTCCATGCATATTCTTGCCCAAACATAATTTTTTGCATTGATATTGAAACTCTATTGGCCTACAGGATTTAAGTTGTTGTTGTTGTGTTGACTACTTTCATTCTTGTTTGACTTTGGCTCAAAGTATCTTTACCAGGGTTATTGGCTCGAATCCATCCTTACCTCTAACCACTGACATCATTTGTCCAAATGCAGAGCAATATCTAAATACTTAGGGTTTGTAAGTGATTAGAATCAGAGTCTGGCAACTTCAACATAACCTCAGCCTAACCTCGCCTAATCTTACTTTTGCTATTAAATGTATTTCTTATAAAAAGCTATTATTGCTTTATCATTTTTGTTTAGGCCGGTAAGTTTGTCGATCGAGGCTCTTGGTTCCTTTCATCTTTTTTTTTCTCAACCCCATCTCTCTAATTGCTTTACGCTTGTCCGGAATTGATTTCAAGAGCTCAGGTTACTCTTTCCGTCACGATTACAAATAACTTCATCCTGCTCAGTCAATTCCCAACGATTCTCAAAAATTAGTACAGTAGTGTTCAGTAGTTCACATCAATCACAGACGGTTCACAGTTCACAGCAGGTAGTCATCTAATTGATTTCGATTCTTGACCGATTCTCTTAAGATTTCCACCCTAGAGGCGAGTTCTCCGCATTTTCACAGCGTTCTCAGGTAGCATTTGAAAAACAGGTTTCAGTTAAATTGAAAAAACTCTGGTTGAAGTCGTCACTGAAGGAGAATGATTGCCATTCACAGCTGGCAATTAACAACTTTCGGCACGCGACTTGAGTGTTTAATAATTTGCGAAATTTAACAAATTGCCATTGAAACATTAACATTAACATAGCCATTAACATAGAAATTAACAGAAACTGCTAAGCAAATAGCTAGCTGAAATGTTTGCCTAAACGTTTAACATAAAATTAGCGTAGAGTCCGAGCGTAGTTCCAGTTCCACTGCCAAGTGACCCACAACTAATGACACTCAGCACACTGACAAGCCCATCAGGGTGTTGAATATAGCAAAACACCTTTAGGCGACCAAGTGGCACCGAGTGCGCTTCAAGTGGTTCCAAAGTCAATCGGTGGGGCATCTCATGTGCAATCTCTTGAAAGGAAAAGTGGCCAGCGAGACAGCTCGAATGTTGTGGGGCTGCCCTCCGCGCTGTACCAGAAAATCTTTCATTGAAGAGTGCTCTAAAGTGCCGTTAACTCTCCAGCTATTATATGTATACTACATATTATACATATATGTTGTCGGGTAACATGCATGTAGTAGACGATCAGCATTGCACTTTCTTTTTTTTTCTACCACATTTCTCGACGGTTTCTGCTTTGGCTGCGGCTTTGGCTTCGGTTTGTTTTCTTTCTTTCTTTAGCTTTTTTTTAGCATTTGTATGTGTTTTTTTTTTTTACTTCTTTTTTTTCTTATTATTATTGGTCTGTCAATTTGATGATATATTAAGTCGATGCTGGCTGGAAAACGCTGTCATAATTGCTCATTTTCAACGGAAAGTGAACTTAAGAGTAAAAGTCATGTGATAAGCCTAATTAGCTTGAGAGACTAAAGAAAGTGCAAGTTGTTTGTGCTTATAATAATGTTACTTGGTCGAAAAGCTAGCCAGATATAAATTGATATGCCTCGCATATCGCTAGGAGCTCTTAAATAAGTAGTTAATTGTGGGTAGAGAAATCTTTAATTGTGTAGAAGACTTTTTAAAAATTGAACTTTTTTTAACATATTCTACTAATATATATATAAGATCTCCCTACCTACAAAAAAAGATATATATATAAGTTATTAACATTCAATTTTGCTTAGTTTAAAATAACATTTTCTGAAAAGCTTAACTTTTATACATTCTTTACTTAAAATCTTTTCTTAAAATCATTCTACACAAAATTATCTTTAATATTCTCTAAGTTCCAAAAATATATATTTAATTTCTTAACAGCAAAGCTGACTCAAGTATCCCTTAAAAAATGTTTTTGGTTCAATAGATGCGTTAGGAACAAGTTCCAAACCACAATCCGTCACAGCGTGACTTATTGCCACGCACAAATTTATTAACAAAGAAAACTACCGATACAAATTTGAAGAATACCTAAAGCTAGAGTGTCAGGATATTCTTGTATTAGAAACATAACCAAGCTTAGTTAATCTAAAATAAATATATCTGATCTGAGCTTTACCAAGTTATGCTAACCTAACCTGGGTATAAGGAATATATCTGACCTCACCAAGTTTCTTGTCGATAAAGACAGCTGTTCTATCCTAACCTTACCTAACCTAACCTAGCCAAGCCTAATTCCAACCAAACCTAATATATAATAACCCCATGGAAGAATCGTACTCCAGCAAAGATTTGAATATACCAAAGCTAATTTAAAACAATTAGCAAATAATATTAAGCTTGACTAACTTGACACGTGCACAGCTGTACTTAATAAATTGCATTAACCGTTATCTTAGCGTACAGTTGGCCTTTCCATTTCGATTTCCACATCGATTTCGGCCTTGAACATAATTGGATTTGCTCATATATCGAAATTGATTAAAACTTGACCTAAGCGAACCGGTTTTTTTTCGGCAATTTCACTTGAACTTTCATTAACTTTGACTGCGACCGCCAACTCCTTGTGGGTTATGTCGGCGCATTGTGTGTACCAGGTTGAGGGGAGTTACAAATATTTTCACATTACATAGTCCACCAGAAAAGAGACAAACCGGATCATAACGAATGTAGACACGTTTCGCGTATGTGTGTGCAGTTAATGACGTCCACTGGTGGACCCCGATAACGGATTTGAATGCGGGGCGCAGCGGGGCGGTGCAGGGCGGGATGAGGGATGGATGGCGGCTCCAACTTTATGTAATCATTTCGGGTCGTATGTTCAAAATGCAAACTTATGAAAATTGTTGTTGTGTGTGATTTTGGACTGTTGGCCAATGTTTGCTATTGATATTTGGACTGTTGCTCTCTTGACTCTTTCCGCTTCATTTTTTAGATTGCCAATTTGTTTGGCTTTGAGTCTCGGTCTCAGGTGTTGTGCTCTGGCAATGCTCAAATGGCCCCAGCTCTGGTAATTGTAGTTGTGCTCCAATTTAATTGCCGTTCATTTTACTGTCAAAGTTTTGAGTATCAAGAGAAACGCCTGTAAGAGCTGCTCTTGCTCCACTTAGACTCCAGCCCAGCCGCTTGCATGCAGTTTAATTACATTTCGTATTTACTCGTCTAGGCTGTCATTCATTCGTTATTAATAATTCGTTAAGGTGCGAAAAATGCATTTAAGAATGCCACAGCTCAGCTTTAGCTTCGACAATTTTTATATGATTTAATTAAAGCTTGATAAAAACCACAATCAGTTGAAATCTTTGCAGCCACTTGACTTAAACTGTGGATTGTCGAAAAACGCAATCCACAAATTAGAAATAATTGAAAAATTTGCCGCTTAAATTGGCCATAAAATTGCGAAATACGCTTTGTAAATTACTTAAGATTCGAGCATAAATTGTGGTTATATTATACACAAAATATTTCGCTGATGCTCGTAAAAAAATAATCTGGAAAGAAGCGCCCAAAAAAACCCTCAAATTTATAATATTAAAAGCAAGCAAATTCTTCATCTAAAAACTTATATAGTATATCGAATTTTTTTACAAATTGCTGTATTTTTTTACTTTTTAAAAACAATTCGAAAGATATGTTCGAAATTTCACTAACAGATAAGTATAAGTATCTTTGAAGTTCCGACTTCGGAAATATAAGTTTTTACCTAATAAAAATTTCTCAATTATTATCACATTCTTTCACATAAATCAAAAGGAATATTCAACATTATATACAAATACACTCCTCAGGTGTTTTGTTGATATACGCAAATTTTATCAAACAAATATTTTATATTAAAAAATTACGAAAGAAATTTTCTTTGTGTTTTCATCACATTAAACCCATTGTCCTTCATTTGGGACGTTGGAATTCAGATACTACGCACAAGTTGACTGAACCAATAAATTCCGATACGCAATAAACAAAGATTCAACCCCCGAGAGGAAAAAATAAAACACAACCCTCTAGAAAGTGCATTTAAGCATTTTCCGCAATTTTATAGAAAAAGAAAAATCCATGAATTCGACTTTGAAGCTTACCTTGTCGTTGTTGTTATATTCGTTCGTATTGTATCCAAAAGATGGTTTTTCCAAAAATGTTTTGTAGATATACTAAAAGTTATTCGATTGCGAATTGCCGTAAGCCTTTGATTCTCTCTGTGGAAAACAATTCAATTGCACTCCTGTCGTGTGGCGCATATGATAACAATAATCTATGCAACTATATTTACTATCGATTTAAATATTATTTTATTTTTTATTGAGCACCAAGCACACGCGCTACCTTGTGCGTCATTTTTATAGAAAATATTTTCATTCGCACTTGGTTGACCGTTAAAGTAATTCGAAATTGTGACGTTTCGAACTGCGGCGATGCGACGGAACGACTGGGGCGACCGTTGGCTTTGAGACCGTCTCGCGGACTGAAAACCAAAACTGAACTGTTGTCTCGTGTCGCCGACTCGGACTGAGCCTCAGCTTCATATTTTTTGGGCCAGGCGTGCGAGAGACAGTCAGGCAGCAAAAGCGAGAGAGAGAGAGAGAGAGAGAGCGAGCACTCGGGCAGTCGCAGCTGTTAACGCTCTCTCGCGCTCAGCTTTGCTGCTGATCACCTGTTGCACATTTAATAACTGCTTTCTCTCTCTCTCTCTCCCTCTCACTAGATCACGCTCTTGCTCCTTGGCTCTCTTCGTGCTCGGCTGTTGCAGTTGCGCACCGGTTTGCGCCGGTTTATGATTTTTTGGGAAAACTCATTTTCTTATACCTGTTTTTTTCATACACAGGTGCTCGCTGCTGCTGCTCTTGTTGTTGTTGTGCCTTACTCTCAAGACTGAAGGTCGCATTTTCGCTCATTAATCGCCAGTTCGCCACTTTCTTCAGCGCCTGCGCAGAGATTTTATTTGCTCTCACACCGATTAACGGTGTCATGTGTGTATATGTTAGTGTGTATTTGTGTGTGTGTGTGTGTTTGTGTACCTTTATAGGCGTTTCAAGTGAATTGTTAGACGTAGCAGCAACCATAAATGTTTATAGATTCTCTAGAACCATATAGCATATAGTTATGTATGAAAGTATATAATATATACTTTGTAATTGAAATACATATATTCACCTTTTGTATAAACGCGCGTGTGTTTTTACCCTTTCAAACTGCATTTTGGGAATTATCTAGAGCACTGCACCTTCGCATGCAGCATCACAAACAGGAGCGGTTCAACCTACGCGAAGGTTTCGGCAGCCAAAGACGAAGATAGCTTAAGTAGTTAGGATTTGTGCATTGAACATGCCATATAGGGATACAGAATTAAAATTATAGAATTCGAATTATAGAATTAATAATTAGAAATAAATTATATTTGACTTTTATTGAAAATATATAATTTATTACCATTTACATTAAACTTGATAAACATATTCATCCCACCAAGCCAAAACAGAGATAAAAGAATGAATGTAAATAATAATAATAATAATAATAATAATAAAAATAATAATAATAGTAAATAATAGTATATAAGATAGGGTGATAGCACTTCATATTTTCTTCGTGATACATCAAGTGGGCACGCTCTTTATCAGGTCGCATGTTGGTCGTCAAAATTTTCTTTTAAATTATGACTACGATTCTTTACAATTTTCAATTTTTTTATATAATTGTTAGGAGATTGAGGTACATACTAACTGGCTTGAAACATACATTAAAATTAGTAGGTCGGCAAATAAAAAAATCCCTGGCAAGTCTAATAAAACTAATCCAAAGACCTTCGTTCATCATAAAACCAACATTAAAGCAAATACTTTGGAACTATCGCAATAATTTCTCAAAGCTCACATCCAAAAATAGCGCATAGTACGAATATAATTGAATTTTTTAAATGTCGGGAACTAAAAATGTTCTAGAAATAAAAAATTGAACAGATCGGTGTGAAAAATGTGCTTAAGAATTTTTAAAATTGAGTAGCATAGAGGAAGAGCTGGCGAACCAAAGAGACACACAGGCACACACACACTCAACCACTGGGAAATGTTTAAGCGGAAATTTTAATAAAAATTATATACAATTTATTTCAAACAGTGAAAACACACACGCACGCACACACGCGGCGCCGTTTTGTGGGCTGTCGTGTGATAAAATAATAAAAAAAAAACTATGCAGAAGCAATGTGGCATATATATTGAAAGTATTATATAGACGCGTATGTCGACTATGTCGACGCAGATCCGCTGAAATAGCTGTTGAAAGCGTAAACAGAATGTCAGATAAGCACGTTCAACTCGGCCGAGGATTGACGGCCCATTCAATTGAGTTGGTGTCGGTAGATTTGTATCTGTATCTGTATCTGTATCTGTATCTGTATCTGTATCTGTATCTGTATCTGTATCTGTATCTGTATCTGTATCTGTATCTGTACTCTTGTATCTGTATCTGTATCTGTATCTGTATCTGTATCTGTATATGTATCTGTATCTGTATCTGTATCTTTAATCGTATCTGTATCTGGATCTGTATCTGTATATGTATCGTATCTGTATCTGTCTCCTGTATCTGTAAATCTGTATCTGTATCTGTCTATGTATCTGTATCTGTATCTGTATCTGTATTGTATCTTGTTATTCTGTATCTGAATATGTTTTCTGTATCTGTATCTGTATCTGATCTGTATCTGATCTGTATCTGTATCTGTATCTGTATCTGTAATCTGTATCTGTATCTGTATCTGTTTCTGTATCTGTATCTGTATCTGTATCTGTATCTGACTGTATCTGTATCTGTATCTGTATCTGTATCTGTATCTGTATCTGTATCTGTATCTGTATCTGTATCTGTATCTGTATCTGTATCTGTATCTGATCGTATCTGTATCTGTATCTGTATCGTCGTATCTGTATCTGTATCTGTATCTGTATCTGTATCTGTATCTGTATCTGTATCTGTATCTGTATCTGTATCTGTTATCTGTATCTGTATCTGTATCTGTATCTGTATCTGATCTGTATCTGTATCTGTATCTGTATCTGTATCTGTATCTGTATCTGTATCTGTATCTGTATCCTGTATCTGTATCTGTATCTGTATCTGTAATCTGTATCTGCTCTATCTGTATCTGTATCTGTATCTGTATCTGATTATCTGTATCTGTATCTGTATCTGTATCTGTATCTGTATCTGTATCTGTATCTGTATCTGTATCTGTATCTGTATCTGTATCTGTATTCTGTATCTGTATCTGTATTGTATCTGTATCTGTATCTGTATCGTCTATCTGTATCTGTATCTGTATCTGTATCTGTATCTGTATCTCTGTATCTGTATCTGTATCCTGTATCTGTATCTGTATATGTATCTGTATCGTATCTGTACTGTATCTGTATCTGTATCTGTATCTGTATCTGTATCTGTATCTGTATCTGTATCTGTATCTGTATCTGTATCTGTATCTGTATCTGTATCTGTATCTGTATCTGTATCTGTATCTGTATCTGTATCTGTATCTGTATCTGTATCTGTATCTGTATCTGTATCTGTATCTGTATCTGTATCTGTATCTGTATCTGTATCTGTATCTGTATCTGTATCTGTATCTGTATCTGTATCTGTATCTGTATCTGTATCTGTATCTGTATCTGTATCTGTATCTGTATCTGTATCTGTATCTGTATCTGTATCTGTATCTGTATCTGTATCTGTATCTGTATCTGTATCTGTATCTGTATCTGTATCTGTATCTGTATCTGTATCTGTATCTGTATCTGTATCTGTATCTGTATCTGTATCTGTATCTGTATCTGTATCTGTATCTGTATCTGTATCTGTATCTGTATCTGTATCTGTATCTGTATCTGTATCTGTATCTGTATCTGTATCTGTATCTGTATCTGTATCTGTATCTGTATCTGTATCTGTATCTGTATCTGTATCTGTATCTGTATCTGTATCTGTATCTGTATCTGTATCTGTATCTGTATCTGTATCTGTATCTGTATCTGTATCTGTATCTGTATCTGTATCTGTATCTGTATCTGTATCTGTATCTGTATCTGTATCTGTATCTGTATCTGTATCTGTATCTGTATCTGTATCTGTATCTGTATCTGTATCTGTATCTGTATCTGTATCTGTATCTGTATCTGTATCTGTATCTGTATCTGTATCTGTATCTGTATCTGTATCTGTATCTGTATCTGTATCTGTATCTGTATCTGTATCTGTATCTGTATCTGTATCTGTATCTGTATCTGTATCTGTATCTGTATCTGTATCTGTATCTGTATCTGTATCTGTATCTGTATCTGTATCTGTATCTGTATCTGTATCTGTATCTGTATCTGTATCTGTATCTGTATCTGTATCTGTATCTGTATCTGTATCTGTATCTGTATCTGTATCTGTATCTGTATCTGTATCTGTATCTGTATCTGTATCTGTATCTGTATCTGTATCTGTATCTGTATCTGTATCTGTATCTGTATCTGTATCTGTATCTGTATCTGTATCTGTATCTGTATCTGTATCTGTATCTGTATCTGTATCTGTATCTGTATCTGTATCTGTATCTGTATCTGTATCTGTATCTGTATCTGTATCTGTATCTGTATCGTATCTGTATCTGTATCTGTATCTGTATCTGTATCTGTATCTGTATCTGTATCTGTATCTGTATCTGTATCTGTATCTGTATCTGTATCTGTATCTGTATCTGTATCTGTATCTGTATCTGTATCTGTATCTGTATCTGTATCTGTATCTGTATCTGAATCTGTATCTGTATCTGTATCTGTATCTGTATCTGTATCTGTATCGTATCTGTATCTGTATAGTATCTGTATCTGTATCTGTATCTGTATATGTATCTGTATCTGTATCTGTATCTGTATCTGTATCTGTATCTGTATCTGTATATGTATCTGTATCTGTATCTGTATCTGTATCTGTATTCTGTATCTGTATCTGTATCATGTATCTATCGTATCTGTATCTGTATCTGTATCTATCTGTATCTGTATCTGTATCTGTATCTGTATCTGTATCTGTATCTGTATCTGTATTCGGTATCTGTATCTGTATCTGTATCTGTATCTGTATCTGTATCTGTATCTGTATCTGTATCATCTGTATCCTGTATCTGTATCTGTATCTGTATCTGTATCTGTATCTGTATCTGTATCTGTATCTGTATCTGTATCTGTATCTGTATCTGTATCTGTATCTGTATCTGTATCTGTATATATCGTATCTGTATCTGTATCTGATATCGTATCTGTATCTGTATCTGTATCTGTACTGTCTGTATCTGTATCTGTATCTGTATCTGTATCTGTATCTGTATCTGTATCTGTATCTATATCTATCGTAATCTGTATATCGGTATCTGTATCTGTATCTGTATCTGTATCTGTATATGTATCTGTATCTGTATCTGTATCTGTATCTGATCTGTATCTGTATCTGTATCGTATCTGTATTCGTATCTGTATCTGTATATGTGTATGTATCTGTATCTGTATCTGTATATCTGTATATGTATTCTGTATCTGTATCTATCTGTATCTATCTGTCTGTATCTGTATATGTTATCTGTAATCTGTATCTGTATCTGTATCTGTATCTTGTTTCTGTATTCTGTATCTGTATCTGTATCTGTAGCTGTATCTGTATCTGTATCTGTATCTGTATCTGTATCTGATCTGTATCTGTAATCGTATCTGTATCTGTATCTGTATGTATCTGTATCTGTATCTGTATCTGTCTCTGTATCTGTATCTGTACTGTATATGTATCTGTATCTGTATCTGTATCTGTATCTGTATCTGTATCTGTATCTGTATCTGTATCTGTATCTGTATATGTATCTGTATCTGTATCTGTATCTGTATCTGTATCTGTATCTGTATCTATCTGTATCTGTATCTGTATCTGTATCTGATCTGTATCTGTATCTGTATCTGTATCTGTATCTGTATCTGTATCTGTATCTGTATCTGTATCTGTATCGTATCTGATCTGTATCTGTATCTGTATCTGTATCTGTATCTGTATCTGTATCTGATCTGTATCTGATCTGTATCTGTATCTGTATCTGTATCTGTATCTGTATCTGTATCTGTATCTGTATCTGTATCTGTATCTGTCTCTGTATCTGTATCTGTATCTGTATCTGTATCTGTATCTGTATCTGTATCTGTATCTGTATCTGTATCTGTATCTGTATCTGTATCTGTATCTGTATCTGTATCTGTATCTGTATCTGTATCTGTATCTGTATCTGTATCTGTATCTGTATCTGTATCTGTATCTGTATCTGTATCTGTATCTGTATCTGTATCTGTATCTGTATCTGTATCTGTATCTGTATCTGTATCTGTATCTGTATCTGTATCTGTATCTGTATCTGTATCTGTATCTGTATCTGTATCTGTATCTGTATCTGTATCTGTATGTATCTGTATCTGTATCTGTATCTGTATCTGTATCTGTATCTGTATCTGTATCTGTATCTGTATCTGTATCTGTATCTGTATCTGTCTCTGTATCTGTATCTGTATCTGTATCTGTATCTGTATCTGTATCTGTATCTGTATCTGTATCTGTATCTGTATCTGTATCTGTATCTGTATCTGTATCTGTATCTGTATCTGTATCTGTATCTGTATCTGTATCTGTATCTGTATCTGTATCTGTATGTATCTGTATCTGTATCTGTATCTGTATCTGTATCTGTATCTGTATCTGTATCCTGTATCTGTATCTGTATCTGTATCTGTATCTGTATCTGTATCTGTATCTGTATCTGTATCTGTATCGTATCTGTATCTGTATCTGTATCTGTATCTGTATCTGTATCTGTATCTGTATCTGTATCTGTATCTGTATCTGTATCTGTATCTGTATCTGTATCTGTATCTGTATCTGTATCTGTATCTGTATCTATCTGTATCTGTATCTGTATCTGTATCTGTATCTGTATCTGTATCTGTATCTGTATCTGTATCTGTATCTGTATCTGTATCTGTATCTGTATCTGTATCTGTATCTGTATCTGTATCTGTATCTGTATCTGTATCTGTATCTGTATCTGTATCTGTATCTGTATCTGTATCTGTATCTGTATCTGTATCTGTATCTGTATCTGTATCTGTATCTGTATCTGTATCTGTATCTGTATCTGTATCTGTATCTGTATCTGTATCTGTATCTGTATCTGTATCTGTATCTGTATCTGTATCTGTATCTGTATCTGTATCTGTATCTGTATCTGTATCTGTATCTGTATCTGTATCTGTATCTGTATCTGTATCTGTATCTGTATCTGTATCTGTATCTGTATCTGTATCTGTATCTGTATCTGTATCTGTATCTGTATCTGTATCTGTATCTGTATCTGTATCTGTATCTGTATCTGTATCTGTATCTGTATCTGTATCTGTATCTATCTGTATCTGTATCTGTATCTGTATCTGTATCTGTATCTGTATCTGTATCTGTATCTGTATCTGTATCTGTATCTGTATCTGTATCTGTATCTGTATCTGTATCTGTATCTGTATCTGTATCTGTATCTGTATCTGTATCTGTATCTGTATCTGTATCTGTATCTGTATCTGTATCTGTATCTGTATCTGTATCTGTATCTGTATCTGTATCTGTATCTGTATCTGTATCTGTATCTGTATCTGTATCTGTATCTGTATCTGTATCTGTATCTGTATCTGTATCTATCTGTATCTGTATCTGTATCTGTATCTGTATCTGTATCTGTATCTGTATCTGTATCTGTATCTGTATCTGTATCTGTATCTGTATCTGTATCTGTATCTGTATCTGTATCTGTATTTCTGTACTACGAGTACTACGTTCTGTGAGCGACCGCGAGTCGTATAGTTGAATTTAATTCTGTGCAATCAGTGTGTAGCGACATTCTATATATATAAATACATATATGTGTGAGCATGGGTAAATATCGCAGCATTAAGGAGGCGTTGATTGGATTTTAAATGAGGCTGCGATTCTTACACATCAGCAGCATAAAAGCCGCAGCGTGCACTGAGCCAAAAACTTTGATATGAAGATGTTGACGTACTTTTGGTCTTACTCTGTGCTTCTTATTCATCTGTTTTCATACATTCAAGCGAAGCTGGCTGCGCCTAACCACTTTAATTTGATAATTACATGAATGCCACTCTGTTATTCCAAGAAAATTTCCAGTGTGTTGCGAAAATTTGATTAAATAAATGTTCATTTAGGGTCTTAGAAATGTGGGGACTGTTCATTGCAGTTGCGTTGGGATCATTAACCATAAGAATGTCGCGAAAATTCTTTATAGATGACAAATGGTAGATCAAGTTCATAAACCACGTGGCATGAAACAATATTAATCTGCATAAATAAGCCCTTATATAGCTATATGTACATTGAGAAACTTTTGAGTGCAAGCGAATAGATCTGTTACAGATGATGTTACCTAAATATATATATTATTAAGGGACTTTCCCTGTTTATAAATTAAGCTAATTAAGCTCTATGAACTTTACATACTTTGTGTATACAAACTATACAAGTGAGTACACATTATCACTGAAAAGTCCGCGTCAAGATCTCTTAGCTTGTAAAAATTATTCTTATCAAAATTAGCCGATTAATAATTTAATAATTATAAATATTTCCATCATCCAATACATTTAAAATTCGGGCATATATAATTTCTGACCAGTATGAGAACCTAGCTAAATATACGCATCTGTATTTACATATCTAGTTATGTTTTACTTTTTATGTTACATATTTTAATAATTGTTTCTTAGTAGTTTTTTTAGTAGGCCAAGTGACTTCTTTCACGCGATATTTAAATATAATATTTTATTCAACTATTAAATGTTTTTATTTTTTTTTTGAGTTACAGATTTGTTAAAACATTCTCTTTGTTATATCCCTACCAAAAACACAATAAAGCACATAGATAATAGTCCAACTTGGCTGCATACGATGGATGAGGATCTATTTGGATAATTGCAACCGCAGAACTGAAGACACGTCGAACATATCTTTTCAGATTTGTTTAGCTTAATCAATGTTTTATTTGCGACTGGCTGGCATCCCATTAAGGGCGACGAAAAACACAGAAAATTTTCCAAGTTACCTGCATATTCGGTGTAAAATTTATTAGTTGTTAATACTTATTGCAAATTATAAAATTACCCTCTACTCGAAAGCCCGGCAATACGCATTCAGACAATGGATCATAGTTGTCTGCGTTGTACGGAATTCGACGAACTAATGTCTTATCTTTTGGATGATCTCTTACGAACATCCAACCTTTATAGAATATTTTACAATCTCCATTATCGCATTCGACACATTGATTATTCAATTCGTCATCTTCATATGCCTCTAAAAATTGTACATTTTTCCATTATTACTAAACATTGCGCAGTAGATAACTTACCCGATTTCCAAACTACAATACCAATAAGTATAATTGATAAAACGTAGTTTTCACTTTTCCTCATGTTGAGACTAATGTTAATATGCTTTATATGTAAAATTACATACAATTTTGGGGGGAGAATGCGAAATGATGTGGATCTGTTTATACCTAATAATTTTGGTGTAACTAACTACTATAACTACTACGACCTAAAACCTTAGCTGGTCTGTAGATACAGCCCCTGGTTGTTACGCAACTCCACGCCAAGCTCTAGCCGCATATTTGGGTATAAACCACGGCCACCATGTTACTCCCCGAGGAACCGCAGTCAAAAACACCAGGAAGGAACAAAGTTTCGCTGACGCCTGCCTGTCCGTACCACGGCCGAACTGCTTAACATTTCTGTCCCAACAAATGCGTCATTACTCCAATTGAGGATCGTCTTACCAGACTAAGCTGCTTCTGGTTTAGGTCATGGCTTGGTACAGATTGGGCCTTTCGCAGATGCTTGGAAAATGCCAATGCTTGGACAATCACTCAGGGCTACCAATGTGCCGAGTCGGCTGGCTAGAAAGACTTCCGAATTACGCAAGTTATTCTACATCTGTCCATTAAACCCCACACACAGTGATGTACAGGGAAATGGGCATGTCTACATCAACTCATCTTCCCCTTCCGAATGCTTTCTTCTGCCTGTACATATGCCTGGGCAAATTTAAGTAATTAATTAATAAACCAATTTTTTTTATATTTAAAATATATTTAAATTCGATACGACAATGTTATAATGATTAGACCAAGGCATAGGGTTAATATTAGCACAGCATCGATGCCAGGTAAAGCTGAACTGGACCGCTCGCAGCCGCAGTGCTTGGCACACGTCTTGCAAATTGATTCTGTACTGCTCAACTGTGTACTATTTGCGATTGCTTGACAGCCCAGTTCGGCAGACCAAAAGCAAACAAATTTATTTAAATCATCTGAAATACCAAAATGGGCTTTGATACTGGGATGCAAAAACCTCATTTATTATATCCTATACTTACCGGTTATTTTATAGCCCTTACTAACGCATTTGTTAAATTGACTATCATGCTGTTCGCCAACACTGAGTCTTTCAACCTTCACCATATCCCAAGCAGTGGACGAATGGGCAGCCATTCCAGTCCTGGCCACTATACACTCTTTATAAACATATTCATCGCATGAGACGCATACATTATTTAACTGACCACTTGCAACTGTTCGATGTGGCATGACACTGAGGCATTTATTATAAACATAATTTGTATGTATTATTCATATACTTACTGTCTATATAATATATAGAAAGGTAAAATAGCCATTTAAAAAGCAACGAATTTTTCATAATTCTAAACAGAAAGCAAAATAAAACTGATCTTTGAAAACCAGCATGCTGAGTAATATGTACGTTTCTGGTCTAAATCGATTTTGGAAAATTTCAGAAGAGTACCAATAGTCGAGTATATACCTAAACTTACTTCAGCACATAAACTTGTAAGATATTTGTAACCAAATAGGAAAGTCACGACTAAGTCTTTTATATTAAAAATGAAAAATTAATCAACAGAATAATAAAACCAATTTCTATGCAAATGTACCTAACACATAACCTAGTCGGGAATAGATAAGAAATGAACGCAGGGATCCACATATTCTAATCATGTTCGTCGATCTGTCTTGACTTGAAATATCAAGTCATTTATAACTTGCCTTGCTTCCATTAAATTGATAAGAATCCGATTCGACATACGATTCTTTATCCATATCTCTAAAGTTTTGACAGTTACAGGCACCAAAGTGGGGATGTATACTCTCGTATAGTTTACACAGATCTCGAACATATAATTTCTGGTTAATCTCTGATCTTAGAATTTACACACATTTGAATGTCATATTGTTAGCGTTGGCTTTAGGGAATCTCCTAGTCAAGCACACCCGACTCAAGCACACATGTTCTCCTTGAGTTTGGAAGGTTTCCATGCTTCATAGCAACTCGACTGACCCTTTTAAAGGGTCGCTACGTTCTGGAAATAATTGAAAAATAAATGATCTGCAAATTAACTACAGCTCAGCGCATTATTTTTATTATTTAACTGACTCTCTTTAGGATCACAAGACATAGTTATATACTTAATTTTTAAAATGTGCATATATATAAGTATTTTTATATTTATTTCCGAAGAGAGTTTTCCAACTTTAGGAATAAATGCTCAAGTTAAGCGAATGCGTATATTAAAGGCCAAAATATTAAGCATTTGCCAGGCATTCCAAAATAGCTGGAAGACGAACTAGCTTTCGCAGTAATCTTTTGCTTCTTGCATTTGCAATATCTGGCACATACTTGACAAGCTATATGATGCATATGATGTATATTTATGTAATTCTTACTGGCAGCAGCCTGACAGCCCATATATGGCGCCCAAAAGCATATAAACGTTTCTATTTCAGCTGCAGTACTCTGTTAATTTAATGGATGCATTTGTCACGGATAATAATTCGATTTACCTGTTATCTCATAACCATCAATAACGCATAGAGCTAGATGTGGATCCCCGTCCGTATAGGTGCGTAGTTTCCTAACTATGCGCTGGTCCGCCGTGGACATCCAAAATGCAGCCCATCCCGTAGTGCTCATTTTGCAATCGCCACTATATACGGTGCAGTTTATACATTCGTTATTTGTAACATTTTTTGCCTCTGCAAATAGTTATATCAGGTTACCGGTGTATTCATACATCTATACCAGACTGACTTAGACGTCCTTTTGTTAAATTGATTTTAAAATATTCCATTACTTAAATAAAAATATTACTACATTGAGCTTTAATACATTAGGTAAAAAATATTTTATCAAGGGGCAAAACCAAGTGACCTATAGATTCCCTATCAAAACATTCCATAATATTCGACCTGTTCCAATCGAGTTTTTTTACATTTCATATCAAATAATAATTAAACCTAATCGATATTTATCGATGTTGAGGAAACAAAGCAAGCTATCGCTAAAAGGAAATAAACTTGATCTGCATATTTTATACATTAGCTTACTCGTATACTTTGTATGATTATATTATATTATTTTAAATGTTCTTATTAACACTTAAATCTTATCAAAATCTGTATTATCAAATTCTGCACTTACCACAGTTTGAAATGCACAGCAGAAACCCAAAAAATAATATTGAACAGGTGCTTACATTTTGCATCTTTTAGAATCAAGTTATACTATACAAGTGTTATGAATTCTAAAATATGTTTTGTGTATTATCTATAGAAGTTTTGACAAATCAAGACGAAATATAGTATGCTTTGATTTTCGGGTCTTTATTTTTTTTTTTGGTAAGCAAAATAATCGGTATGACTTGATTTTCAACCTAGTTAAAATTTGATGAGATATAACATTAATTAAAGCCTTGCCAACAAATTAGTTGATATGCAACATCCTTTAATTGTACCTGAGGCCTTAATATGTTCACAATCCCATGACTTTGTACATGTTCTGGCAAGCCCTAAGCATCTTTTTTCGTGAAAAACACATACGGTTGCTTCCTATTAAATTCCCGGATCTTAAACAATCTGCTAAATGTGATTTCAAAATAGGCCAAATGGTGAACCATTTTAAAGATCCTTCCAGATGATTTTAATGTCAAAATAAGAATATGAGTACAGCAAATAAATGGTGTCATTTAGAGAATGCGGGAAACCCGCTCGAAACAAAGCTCAATACAACGAAGCAATAAGAAGAGATAACAGCCCGACTATTTAGGGACGTGTCTCACGTGGAAGATCCATAGGGCGATGGTATCAAAAACAGCTCTAAGACCACCCAAAGCGAAATATAACGATGAGATAACCAGTTCATCAGTCAGTGCTAAACACTGAGTACTCAGTACTGATAAGACCTGTGGTAACAGGTCGCATGGAGCTGTTGCTGCTGCTGCAGTTACCGTAGATAGCCGATCCCCAATTCAGATCTCAATGGTAATCAATTAGTAAGCAGCGATTGTAAATTAGCAAACGTTGACAGACAGTCCCGGGCCGCTTATCGCCCAGGGCTCATGTCAAGGGCTATCGGTGCGCCCTGAGCCGGCAGCGGCAGTGGCAGAGGCACCGACGTCAGCAGAGGCAGAGGCATCGACGTCGGCAGAGGCAGCGGCTGCAGTACTTGGGTCTCTGAGAGAGGCCGTTGTCATTATTCGCTTGCACTTCAAACGTTCAGCAACGATCCAGTTAAGGGTATTATCCAGCTGAATCAATCGGCTGTTTGTGTATCCTTACATAGATTCTTATAAGGTTATTTTCTTTGTATCAAAAATAAATTAATATAATTTTAATTTCAGAAAAGGATTTTTTTTATGGCGATTTTCTAAAAATTATCGAACTTTTTTTGAGTGTAGTTGAATATATTGATTTGCTCGACTTTCAGGCCCCTGAACCCATTAAAAATGGGTATAAGGGTATATTGTATTTGTGCGAAAGCCAAATGTATGTAACAGGCAGAAGGAAGCATCTCCGACCCCATAAAGTATATATATTCTTGATCAGCATCAATAGCCGAGTCGATCTAGCCATGTCCGTCTGTCTGTCCGTCCGTCCGTCGTATGTATGAACGCAAGGATCTCAGAACCTATAAGAGCTAGAGAACTAGAGAAATTTTAGATGTAGATGCTCCTAGTTCCCCCGCAGATAGAGTTTGTTTCCGATAATCGATAACTTGCTCCGTTTCCCAGCAATCGATATCGATATCCTGTTTTTTGGCCAATTTTGGTAAATAATAAGAGCTAGAGTCACCAAACTTGACATGTAGCTTCTAAAATAGAATATATATATGCATTTGATGTTGGAAGAAGAGGGTTCAGGGTATCCCCTAGTCGGGAGTTCCCGAGTAGAACCTCTTGTTTATAATATGTTAAAAGTTTTCAGCCCCTAGCTTCAATACAAATAAAAATTCAATCAATTCTTTTCCTACCCTGAAATGAGTTTTTATTAAGACAAAAGCATTTCCGACCCCTTATAATGTTGATGATGACGTGCCCGTCGAGGTTAAAGCGGCCGAAGCCGAAAAGTCCGAAAATAATGTCGAGGATGTCGATGAGGATGTTAAGGTTAAGGAAAATTATGACCAGGCTAAGCCCAAGACCAAGAAGGTTGCAGAGATTGTCTGGGACTGGCTGCCCTTCTGAACACAGAAACCAGCCAAATTCACTGAGGTGGAGTACAATGCATTCTATTAGAGTTTGACCATGGATTCGAGAGAGCCTCTAACCCAAACCCATTTTGTTGCCAAAGGCGAGGTCACCTTCAAAAGTTAAATGTATATTTTCGGCGCAAAACCGAGTCGGACAACATTAAGATATTTGAAATTTGGAGTATATGGAGAAGGCAACCAGAATGCTTGTCAAGATAACTTTTTTTCATAATTTTGATTCGCAAACGTAGCTCATAGCAGTCGTCGTGGAAGCGATTTCTTAGCAAAGTAGAATACATATATTATACGTCCAAATTGATAAAATATATGGAAATAGTTGGCATTGGTAGGAGCATACTAACAGTTGTAAATCCACTAAGAAAATCGGAACTAGCCCTACAGCCTACAATTCGCCCGACAAAATTCATTAAGCTGATTGTCAAATGTATATACACTTCATATCCTATGAAGGAAACCCATTTGAAATATCCTTTTAGAAAATTTGAATGGCAAAAGCAGAACATGAATACAACAAATCAATTGTGTCATTTAGAGAATGCGGGAAACCCGCTCGGTACAAAGCTCAACACGACCAAGCGATAAGGAGAGATAAGAGCCCGACTATTTTTGGAAGATCCATAGGGCGATGGTATCAAAAACAGCTCTAAGACCACCCAAAGCGAAATATAACGATGAGATAACCAGTTCATCAGTCAGTGCTAAACACTGAGTACTCAGTACTGATAAGACCTGTGGTAACAGGTCGCATGGAGCTGTTGCTGCTGCTGCAGTTACCGTAGATAGCCGATCCCCAATTCAGATCTCAATGGTAATCAATTAGTAAGCAGCGATTGTAAATTAGCAAACGTTGACAGACAGTCCCGGGCCGCTTATCGCCCAGGGCTCATGTCAAGGGCTATCGGTGCGCCCTGAGCCGGCAGCGGCAGTGGCAGTGGCAGTGGCAGAGGCAGAGGCAGAGGCATCGACGTCGTCAGAGGCAGCGGCACCGGCACCGGCTGCAGCACTTGGGTCTCTGATAGAGGCCGTTGTCATTATTCGCTCGCATCTCAGACGTCCAGCAACGGTCCAGCTGAGCGGACGGACGGTCCTAAGTATTATTTATAATGTTCCCGCTGCTGAATCGCTCGGTCTTCGTGGTCTGCCGCTGCTGCCTGGTGGAGCAGCCGGCGCAGTGCCACAGCATTCGTGACAATAATCAGCTGAGCATCGAGCTGCTCGCCCTGGCGCCCAATCTACAGATTGTGCCCAGCGATGTCATATGTCAGCTGTGCCTGCATCGTCTGCACGACGCCCTCGAGTTCCGGGAGCGCTGCGAGGAATCTGAACGCATCTTACGTGCCCGGCACGAGCAGGCACTGGACGATGCGCTCGAGTGCCTCGAACGCGAAGTCGGCTGTCTGGAGCAGGCCAAATCAACGTCCATGTCATCGCAGCTGGAACCGGTCGACTTCGGTGAGTACAAAATATTTGCATAATGTTGGGCATAATCCCGTTTCAGTTTCATTTTGGAATTTCGTAGCATTCGCTAGGTCAAGAGCCTTCAAGATTCCCGCTTCATAAGTTTGCCACATAATTGTTTCGGAAATAATGGCACATATTTTGATAAATCGTGTCATGAGCGCGAATTCGTTATCAGGCCCACTTTCGATTGAATTGAAAGCTTTCTATAGCTCCCATATAAGCTATCGTTAGAAATTTGAATTTTTGAAATTTTTGTAGATACTCCAACAAAACTTAGCTATTACGAAATTCGCTATCAGTAAAATTTCATCGGCATTGAACTCTTATATCATATTTATTAAATCATATAGCTGCCATAGAAACATTCTCTCAAGAACTGCTCGGAAAATACAAACATGACCTTTATCCTATATCCTATAGTTTATAGATTGCTTCTTTAATAAAAAACTATTTCGCTTTAACGGTTTACTAAATCGTTTAGCTAGTAATCGGCTCAATATTTAAACGAACTAGTATTGCATTTATAGCCTATAAGCGAAGGCAAACAAACAAATCTCAAGATCCTATTTGAAATACTATCTATAGCCAGTTAGCAGCTTTGTAATTTGCTGGTTTCGGTTACAAATAAAGAGCCTTAAATAGAGTATCCGAAATATTCAGAAAATCAATATACTTCTCCAATTTCTTTTGGTTCATTAAATAAAGTTTCTTCAGGTTTGTTTTTGGAACGGTTCTTGGCTATAGATTGAAAACCAACCAAAACAAGAATACCTTTCGAGCAACGGAATTGAGTTAGGCGATTTGACTATATATATTTACTCCAGACTGCCTTATTAGAAAGTTGCTTAAGAGATCAAAGTTGGTAAAGCCAGTTTTTCTCACACAGTTGTGAGACACGCCCTCTCAGTGAATATGCAGGTTGCCTGTAAACCCATGTCCAGAGCCCCTCCCTATTAAGCTGAAAATATTTTTGTGACACGCCCTCTCAATAAATAGTGCCGAAATGTTTGGGTAACCTAGAAGATTATCAGATAAACCTATACGATATTTGAATTACAAGAACTGCAATTCATATGCAAAGTAAAGAACGTGTTTCTCTTACCTGACAGGTACCATGGATTTGTCGGATTTGTTTCGGTCCAGTTACGAGCAGCCAGAGACGACATTTGCCAGCTGGAATACCGGGACACTGAACACGCCCATCCATTTGCCAGCCACGCTGGAGCAACTGGAGGCAAGCAATGCGCCCGCGGAGCAGCAGGGCGGCAGAGCGGACAGCATGCCAGCGCCAGTTGATGTGCCCAAGCGCAAAAGGGCGCCACGCAACAAGACGGGGACAACAACAGGTGGCGCGTCGCGTAGCAGGACACCAAAATCGCTGCGTCCGTGCAGCGAGTGTGAGAAGAAATTTACGCGCAACTTTCAGCTGAAGTTGCACATGATATCGGTGCACGGACTGGGCGACGGGCTGCGCTATGAGTGCGAGGTGTGCTCGAAGAGTTTCGCATCGCGTCACAGCCTGCGCTATCATTTCACATCGCTGCACTCGACGGAACGACCATTTGCCTGCGAGCTGTGCGATCGGCGTTTCGTGCTGCGCACCCAATTGATCTCGCACGCCCGCATGCATACGGGCGAAACGAAGCCGCGCATCTTTGACTGCAGCGTCTGCGGCAAAACGTGGCCAACCAAATCGGATTTGCGCACCCATATGCGCTCCCACGATCCAGACATGTCCAAGCGGCCGTATAAATGTGATAAGTGCAACAAGGCCTTCTTTACGCGGGGCCACCTCAACTCGCATCATTTGGTCCACACCGGCGAGAAGCCGTATGCCTGCACCTACTGCGACAAGTCCTATCAGAGCGTTGGCAATCTCAACAATCACACTCTGCGACAGCATTCGAATATTATTGAGGCACGGCTGAATCTCAAATACACAGACTCCATGGATATTGAGACCTAGTGTGCGATTCAAACACCAAAAATTAGCTTATTTTTTTTACCTAAGAAAATATTAATAAACAAAATTCCTTCCTAAAAACAACGCATAAGAAAGTTAGCTAATTCAATGACTAGCATCCGAAAAAAATGCATTAAAATTCTAAAATGCCCAAAAACTCAGCTCGTATTAAAAATGAATATCTGCTTTTGCAAATTTCAAAGTTTCGCTCTGTACATGTCGACCAGCTGGAAGTATTAGCTATGACATCAGATCAAATCTGAATAGAAATTTGAATATATATTTATATGAATATAATTTGAGAGCATCCAAGCAAAATGTTTCTAAATGTTTTTGATTAAAAATCTAAATTGAATTCAAGTAAATATTTAAAATAGCAAACAGTTAATTTTTAAATTGAGTTATATGCATTAAACATTACAGAAAAACTGTTAATTTAGTTATATCTATATTATTATATTGTTATTATAGTTATATAAATATATAATAATCTAAAACAAAGCTATTTATTAGCAATATAAATATTAATAAATATAATATATATATATATATATATATCATTCTTATTATCCACAATATTTTTAGGCATAGTTAAACTGCATTCCACAAAATGAATACATTAAAAATGAACAATTATTAGGGTCTTCTATATTTTTGAATATTTCATAACAACGTCCAAATTTGCAACAATATAAAAGACCTTGAGACCATATATTATATATTATACATAATATATAACTTTAATTTCGATAGAAGCACGCGCTTAAAATCTTACGAAACCAAGCTTATCGCATTATTTAACATCTTTGTATATTTATATGTATATAGTATATATATATATATATATATATATATATATATATATTATATAAATATACATGCCCTATCGTACCTATTAAGTCCAACAATTAAATGTATACAATAATTATAAATAAAAATTAAAAGTGTATATTTGCCACAGATAATACAACTACAATAAAATGTAAGATAGAGAATGTTGAAAAAGCGCAAGTAATTTTTCCAGCAATTTCTTTCGCATTTTTTTTTTATTTTAAATTAAACTAGGCATACCCTATAAAAGAATTCGTTATATTAAACATTCCAGACAAATATTCCTAAAAAATAATTTTTATTTGAAACTGAAGAAAATTTTGAGAAAAAAATTGTATATTAAGAATTAAATTAAATGAAAATTAAAGCTTGCAAATTTAATTTTAAAGTTTTTCAATTAAAATATCAAGTTCATATTTTTATCATATGAATCAGTTTCCATTCAACATATATTTACTTCCGGTTAACCTCTATAAATATAAATTCAATTTTTAACGGCAGTGGCACGCTTTTAACATAACTTAACATGCTTCGAATAACATGTTCAAGCTATGTTAAATAGGCTATGTTATGTTAGGCTATGTGCTATGTTATCTAAGCTCAGGCTATGTTTGTGTTATGTTAAATATCTATTCGATAACTGCAACCACAAAAGAAACGTTGATCTTTAACACTAATAAATATTAATATTCTCATACCATAAAATTTAATAATTTTCCGCTGATAGTCAAAACTTATCAGCATGGAAAATGCCCGAGCCATAACAATTCCAGCTTATTTATAGAGCATACTAAGTACGACTCTGTCCATTGAACGTTGAGTTCTCAGTGTTGTGCTGTATATATATATATATATACATATAAATATATGTATGTGCACCGGGAGCACTATCAACGCCTTTAATCAAAACAAGTGCCCGACTGTCTGATCGTAAACAAGCAAATGCCAGGCATCCAGAGCAGACACATTCACAGCCACAGCCACAGCCAGTAAAGACAATTTTGATTGTGGGCCGCATTTGCTTCAATTACAAAATGACCACAACAACAATAATGTATACAAAAAGAAAAAGAAGAAAAAGAAAATAAAACTAACGAGATATTTCATAATTATGGGCCTGACTTGAGCCACAAAAAAAGTGTTAATCCAATTAACTTTGATTTAACACCGGGAAGTGACCGCCGCCGCCTGGCCTAGGTCAGCGATTCGTTTGGCTGGCGACAGGAGGCGTTCAGCTAGTTCCAGAGAGCAGAGAGCACTCCAACTGAGTCACAATCGCCAATGATAACCCCAACTCACCCGCAGGTCCGAGACAAATACATATAATGTAACTCGTTGGGCATTTCTCTAAAGTAACTATTTACATATAAATTTGCTTATTGTGTGTCCGCGCCCTGGCCAATTAGTCATAGCAGCAAAGTGCGATGTGTGTCCCCCAGCGAGGTGAATCAAGTACCCAGACATTGACCCAACCCAGCCCAGATCCCAGCCTTGCCCATTGCCTTTGTCCGTGGCCAACACGTCGCGCAGTTGCCGTTGCGCCCGCTACGTGATCTGTCTCCCTCCCCCTCGCTCTGGGTTCTAGTTGGACTGTCTTGATTGTTCCTACAACTATATGAGATAAGAACAAATGCTCGAAATCTACTAAAATTAAATTGGTGTCCAAGTCAACTAAGCACTTGGCACAAGGCATAAATATTAATTCTTTAAATATGCTCCCTGAAAGCAGTTCTAACTAATTCTGACACATATTACATTTATCTTGCTTACAGACTCTTAAAATTTCTTTTCTTTTCTAGACATTTCCAAATTTCTACTTCAATTTTTCGACAATTATTTAAAAAAAAATTAATTAATACGATTTAATCAAAATAGTTGGTTTGTTAACAGATAGAAAACTAATCTTTTTTTTACCATTGTAATCTTTCCTTATCGCTTATCCTAACATTTTATTTACCAAAGAAATACCTTCCGACTCATTGTCATACTGGTTCCAAAAGCAATCCTTGTGGGGCATATTTCGCCAAAAATGCGCTTTCCTGATTTTAGAATAAAATCAGGATTTGGTTAGTGGACCTTCGCCAACGACCATACCACGCTGAATACATCGGTTCTCGTCCGATCACCGAAATTAAGCAGCGTCGGGCACGGTTAGTACTTAGATGGGGGACCGCTTGGGAACACCGCGTGTTGTTGGCATCGGTTAACAAATCTTTTTTTATAGCTTAAACAAATTGTAGTGTCTTGTCTTACTTGTATCGTATTTTTTTTAAATACAAAAAATAAAAAATAAATATTTCTCTTTGCCAGATTTTCTTTAGTTTCCGTCAACAGGATTCGAACTCGGGGATTGCTGCTGGGGTACATCAAACGCCCGGCAAGTAACTGCAGCAGGACCTAATGAGAGGTCCACCCACACTGTAGAGACATTTTCATTTATAAGATGCGCCCCTTATATGATTATATATTCTTGGAAATTGCTTAAGTTAAATGTTTCATTAGTTTAAACAAAGCTCTTGACCCATCTCCACCCAGACTGGACGCCATCTATAAATATTACACTAGCATTTTATTTACATAATAACAACAATTACATATTTGAAAACTCTGTGGGGAACTATTTAGCTAAATCCTTCTTGAAAAGCAGGCGACCCAGCTGTGACTGCTGCTGGGCATAGAAGCTGTTCGAATGCTGATCCAGAGCCGATTCAGGTGTGACGGATTGCCGGACGAGCTCCCTGAGGCTCGCCGAGATCTTGGCAGTGCGAAAGCGTGCCTCGTGTCGCCGCTGTCGAGTGTCCACAAAGCGCTGCGATTGCTGGCGTTTCCTTTGGATGTCATGCTGCAGTTGCTCACGCTTCAGACGTTCCAATTGCTGGCGCTCGCGCCAGTGCTCCTCATGATGCAGCTGCTCCACTTGATTGTCGTGCTGCAGCCGCTTCAGATAGCCCTCCAGCAGCTGGGCGCGCAGTTCATCCGCCCGGCGCAGACGTTGTGTGAGCCGCATGCAAGTGTCACGCTTCCGCAGTGTCGCATCCAGCTGTTGCTCCTCCTGCTGCAGATTGACGGCCTCGTTGCGTCGCGATTCCTCATAGCGGCGCTGGCAAAGCGTCAAGTCACGCTCCAGCCGCATCGCATCCAAACGCTGCTTGGCCGCCGCATCTTTGGCGTCCAGTGCACCGCGCAGACGTCGCAGCTCGGCCAGATCGCGCTCGGCCAGCGCCTGGAGGCGCGCCTTGGTCATCAGATAGTCCTGAAACTGTTTGTCGTGCACGGCGCGCTTGTACTCCTCCAGCTGCTCGCACTTGAGCAATTGACGCTCCAGCCGCTCATTCTCCCAGTACTTGCGCGCCAGCCAAGCGTGCTCCTTGTCCGCCGCCCGCTCGCTACGCTTCACTGCCATCCGATTGAGTATCCTCTGATCGTGGCTGGGCACCTGCGCGTAGGCGGCGCGCACCGTTGGCGCCAGGCACAGATTGGCCATGGAGGCGCACAAGGAGTTGCCGCGCGTTAAGTTCTGGGCCAGCGGCACCAACGCCATGTTCTCCTGTGACTTCGACTTGGATCTGCTGCTGCCGCTGATGGCCAGCGTCGTGGCATCGACAGCGTTGAGTGAACCAAACACAGTCTGGAGTATAGCAAAAATATACGGATATGAAGATTTTTGCAGGTAATACTTCGGCACACCGAAGATGAAATGCCCTAGTCAATATATGGCCTAGGCTTAGAGAAGACTGGAAGAATTTATATATTGATATATTGATATATTTATATATCGATGTATTAATATATTGATATATTTATATATATCGATTTATTGATATATTGATATATGGTATATTGCTATAGTGATATATTGATATATTATTATATTGATATATTTATATAATCTTTTTCCCCATTGTAAACAAAGGATTCATCTTTATGATTAAGTACATAATTTAACAGCCCTTCAAGTGGTTACACATTGCAGGAAGAACATCACGCACCTGTCTGAAAGGGTATAAAATGGATATACTAACTGGTCACACTCACCTGCAGCATCTGGCAATCGCGCAGCGCGCCCGCACGTCCCGTTCGCTGTTTGTCCGGCTTCTCCGGCGTATCCTGTCTGGACTGACTACGTTGGCTGCCCGCGCTCTTGGAGCGTCTGCCTCTGGCGGAGGCTGTGGAGACGCGCGTCTGGCACTCGGCGGAGCCGCGTCGATTGTGCGTGGCCTTTGCCTGGGTTGGGGATTTGGAAGCGCTGCGTTGCCTGCGCCGCTGGCCGCTCTCGCTGCGCTGCAGTTGCTCCAAGGCGTGTATCTCGTGCTCCAGCTGCTGCAGTTCCGTTGCCGACTGTGGGCCTCCGCTCACATTGCTGCTGCTGTGCGAACTGTAGCAGTCGCAGTGGCAAATATCGCAGCAGCTGTCGGTCAGCTCCAGGGCAGCCAGCAGCTGTTGATGTTGTTGGGCCTGGGCGCGACTCTTGCCGCGCTGTCGCTTTTTCTTGGGCGTCATCCTGCTGGCTGGCCCATTGGCAGGGATTTGGTTCAAACTCCTAAACTGGCACAAACTCTCTATATTTGCATTCCAAATCGAATACTTGGGTATTATTTATTTCGGCGGCTGCCATACGTCAATGCGCTGCTCGTAAACCCAAATTCCTGCGCACCTGCAATAGCATTTTCCTCGTTTTTCCACATTTTTTACTTTTGTTTACTTTTTTATTGATTGCCCGCTCGCACGTTGTCCCGGGCAACGCTCAGGCCTAACGAGTTGTGGAGTTATTTTTGTTTTGACTTTGGCTTGTTGTTTCGTTTCTTTTTTTTTTTTTGGCAACTGTTCCGAGGTTTTCCGCCATTAATGCCGGAAATTAGCTGCTCCAATTAGAATGTGAAAAGTGAAAGGAAATGATATGAGGGACAGCTGCAAGGAAAGCCGGAAGTTTTATCTGGCATTTAGAAAACTGACAAAACTTTCACACACGCAATTTGAACAAATATTGCAGAAATATTCACTTTAAAGATACCAAATCCTAATTAAAATATTTAATATAATAAATTAAAATAAATTAGTATTTAATGAAAAAAGAATCCTACTGTGTCTAAAAAATTAGATATCCATTTTAAATATTTAATTTAATAATTACTGAACCTTTTTTTTGGATCGAGAGTCAAGTTAGGTTATAGGCCAGTGTGGCTGAGCGTCGAACTAACAGGCGAGCAGTCGCTGGTTCAAATTCTGCAGCAAAGGCGAATGAGAACCATTTCGATACGGTTGGTATTTTAAATCTTATTCATTTGAGCCGTACCATGCCGGGTAATTTCCTTTAAGTATATTCTTTTAAAATATTTACTATCTTCAAACTTTATAGATAACACTTGATTTGGTTCAGTTTGTATATACAAAATCGAGGTGCAATAAATTAGAAATCAAAACCTTTCCATTCCAAGTATCCATTTAATGTATATATATTTGGTATACGGTTGTATAGGTTTACGTATATGTATATAACAATATGCAATAAATATATTATGAAAACAATTAAATTCCATTTCTTTTCTATAAGCTGCCAAGTTTCTCATCGCATTGGATATCATCTTTCAAAGTAATTGGAATGAACTTGGGCAGTTACAGACAGTTAAATTGTTGTTAATATATAAGTTGGCTTAGTTTAGTGGTTATGCATTAAACATTTTGAATAGGGCTAGCTAATAATTTATACACGCACACACACAATTTACACCATCAACGTTTGCCTTAATACTGACAATAACAATTGAAAATCATAAAAACAAAAACTATATAAATAAAATACATATCGTTAAATTGTCTAGTAAGTAATATTGCTCTGTTCGTTTTCTTCTTCTTCTTTTTTTCTCTCTTTGAGGTTAGTTGAGGTATGCTACATAAACGATAAACAATAAACAAATGCATATTTACAAGAAAATGCCTAGTCGAAAACTAAAGGTATCGAGGTAAACGGAAGCACCGGGCACGACGGCTCCAATTGCAGCGAGGTGGCAAAACAATCAGCGGATGCATTGAAATCCCCCAATGTTTCCATAACCTGACCCAGCGCAAACCTGCAGATAGATTTATAAATGAGGCATGCATCAAAACTGTAAAGCCTAACACTTGCCATATCTTTGGGCAATTTGGATCCAATTTGGCAGCATCCTTGAGCATCTTTTCGGCCAGCCGCGGTTCGCCCAGTATTAAATGCGTTTCGCCCAGAGCACGTAGAGCTTCCGTATGATTCGGATTGGCGGCAACTGCATTCAGAAAGCATTGCTTGGCTTCCAGCCACTGCTCCAAATAAACATGCACCTGACCGCGCTGTAAAGTGCATGTTAAGCATTGAATTGGTATCAAACGCACAGACTTAGCTCACCATAAACATTATCTGATGCGAGAGCGGATATATTTGCGTGGCTTCGTGTATGCAGTTGAGCGCCTCATTCGGCTGATCGATGCGCATGTAGACATCTGCGAGCAGCAGCCAAATCTATATAAGTGTATTTTAAATCAGTTGAAATAATTATTATCAAATCATCCAAAAACAAACCTCAATTTGCAGCATCCAAGGTCTACGGGGTCCCGGCCGTTGCGTAAAGGAGCTCAACGAGCTGGCGGCCTCGCTCAGAGCCTGCTCCACGCGCGACACTGCGGCCAACGAGGCAGCATAGACGGAATCTTTAAGTGGCAACAACAAGTTGAGAATTATAAATACGAAATAAAACCAGAGCAAGCAAAGTGGAAGAGTATAAAATCAAGAAGAGAAAATGTTTGTAATATACAACAAAAAAAGTGCACTAGTTTAGTCGACGCATGCAACAAGATGCAAAAGTTAAAAGCACGCATAGAAAATAAAGTAGAGAAGAGCCACAAGAGAAGCGGGGGAAAATGGAGAAAGAAACGTTTTGAAAGCAGTGCAAGGCATAAGTTTAAATAAAATAAAGCATTTTACACACTTGCAAACAGATGCTCTATTAATAAACTTGTTTTGTTTTTTATCTAAAGAATACAATTAATTGTTTAATGAGCTTTTTTAAATTTTGAAAATTCCACTTTTTAGAAATGTTCAACCTAATTTAATATATATAATACGTTTTTTTACAACCCCACGATTTAAAATATAGTTTATCAATTTTAACAAAATATTTATGGTAAAAAAGCTCTCTATACTTTTTGTATTTGATAACAAATATCTACAACCTATCCTACAGTTTTAATTTATTTAATGGAAGCCGAAGTTCAGATGTTTAATCAACATTAAACTTCATAATAATATAAGTGAAAATATATAAAAAATTTTACTTAGATAAATCAATTTTGCTTTAAGAAAAACTCTGCCTCGCGCTACACACTTTGAGATTAGAAAACTATAACGTTTGCAAGAGTATAAAAAACTTCGGTGCATGCCGCGGTTTGTGTTAACTTTGAGTTAAATTTGCAATTGAGACTTACAATTATTTTGTATGGTTTTATGAATTGGTTTTTTAGACAGACACATTCCGCAGAAGTTGGGTAGTTACATAGATGTAATAGATGTTTATATATGTATATATATGTGTATATATAATATATATGTATGCATGTGTGTGTGTGTGTGTGTGTGTGTGTGTGTGTGTGTGTGTGTGTGTGTGTGTGTGTGTGTGTGTGTGTGTGTGTGTGTGTGTGTGTGTGTGTGTGTGTGTGTGTGTGTGTGTGTGTGTGTGTGTGTGTGTGTGTGTGTGTGTGTGTGTGTGTGTGTGTGTGTGTGTGTGTGTGTGTGTGTGTGTGTGTTTTTGTACAGAATATATATTGTTATTATTAGTGTCAAGTGTTGTTGTTGTTGTTGCTGTTGATTTTAAACTAGCTGCAAGCGCCTCACACGCACGACAGCTTGACTTACTTGAGTCCTTGTCAGACATTTGTGATGAATGCACCAAATGGACACCGCTCTTGGTATCCGAATGCTTCTCCTCGTCGGCGGCCAGCTGCGCCTCGTATACCTCCCGCCAAACGGCGAGCATATGCTGTACGGTGGCCAACGCCGTTTCTGCATCCTCCAGATGCAGTTGCAAGTGTGCTTTGACATGCAACAGCTGCAGATTATCGGGAAACTCGTGCAGCGCATCCTCTACCACGCCCAGCGCCTCACGCGGACGACGCGATGCGGTCAGCAGCAGGGCGAACAGATGCAGGCACGGTGCATGCTCCATGCGCAGTGCCAGAGCGAAACGTATGTGGCTCAATGCCTCGCCCAGCTGATTGAGCAGGGCATATTGCAGGGACAAATAGTATTCGGCCAGGTGATCGTTGCCATCATGCTGCACGGCACGTTCCAGAGACTCCAGCGCCAGTTTGTTGTACGCATCGCGTTCGCTCTTGAGAGTCGACTGTATGGCCAGCTGCTGATAACCAATGCCCACGAAGAGCTGACTGCGCGAGGGACGCAGACCTGGCAGAACAAACAAAAGATAGCTACATTATATGGCCTCATTGGGATGAGATCCACTCACCCTTCACCTCGCGCTTGAGCGCCTGCTGCGCATAGTCCAGGCCCTGCTTGACCGTCTCGAGGCTCTCGTAGCACAGGCGTGAGGCATGCAAACAGGGCAGCGGATCGCCTGGCGTTAGCTTCATCGACTCCTGCAGCACGCGCAGTGCATGCGCATGCTTCTCTGCGGCCATCAAACTGAGGCCGTACTGTCGCCAGATATGCTGCTCCCCAAAGCTAAACTTGAGCGCCTTCTCGAACGATTCGTTGAGCAGCTGCACCAGGCCCCAGCGTATGGTGGCCAGCGTGAGCAGATCATAAACAGCCGTCACATTGCCCATGGCATGTTGACGCGCCTGCCGAAATTCCGGACTCTGCGAGAGCACCGTATCCCGTACGGCCAAAGCCTCAGCGATGAGCAGTAAGAGAATGATCTCCTCCTGTTGATTGCGCGGCGTGAATTGCTGACGTGCAGCATATTTCCGCGGCTTCCACAGACGCTTGGCGGCGCCGCCGCCACGTAAAGTACTGCCGCCCGATTTGGTGGTAAAGGGAGGCGCATATATTGTGCCCGAAACGCCGCGCAGCAGCACCTCGGCCAGCTGGCGGGCGAGCGTCAATCGCAACGATTGCGTTGCACGCGTCTCGATGGCATTCAACATGATGCGATATCGTTCCACGGCCGCCTGCAGCTTGCCCGCCTTGATCAGCACAATGGGCGCACGCTGCAGCGCCGTCTCCAGTATGGCGCCCATGCGTCGACTCACCTCCAGCGTCGCGCTGCTGCTCTGCAGGTTGCTGCTAATGGCAAAGCTGCTCGACGACTGCTGCACGCCCGCGTTCACATTCAGCGTGGAGCCGGCTGTGGAATTGTTCGAGGAGCTATTGCCGCCGCAGCCAACATCGTGTTCCTGCAGATAGAGCAGACCCAAATCAGAGGCGCGCTCAAAGCAACAGATCTGCAAGTTAATGGAAGGGGTAGTGGTTAATTAGTTAATAGAGTGAGCAGCAGCACGCACCATTTCCGTGTCCTTTTCGGCCTTCTTGAATTTGGATGTCGGCTTGGAGGCCTGCTGCTCCAGGCACAGGCCCTTGATGGCATAAGACTCGGCCAGAATCTTGAGGCTGCGTCTGTTTTCGAATATGAATATATATGAGTAAAGCGTGCAAATATTGCCGGGCAAAGCCGCTTAACGTCTGTTAAGTTGCTCCACTTACAGCGTCAGCTCCTTCTCAGCGAGCGTATTGAGCTCCGCCTTGACAAAGTTCTCCAGACTCTGTTCGTACTCGCCGCAGGCGTAGCACAGCTTGGCCAGCAGCAGGTGGGCGTCGAGGGCGATGCCCGCCTTTTGGCCGCTCTCGCCGAGAGCGAGATTTAGATAGCGTCTGCCGTCGGCGAGGCCGCTTTTGGCTCGGCCAAAGTTCGTTTCGGGGGCCACCGCATGCTCCTCCAGATAGCTTTCGAGGCGCGCCTCGCCCATCAGAAAGTTGGCCAGGCATTCTGTAAGGCAGTCAAAAGGTGGAATTGCGGTAAATTATTTTAGATATAAGAACACGCTTTACCGTTATGCGGTGATCCCGATTTCAGCTCGTCCGTCAGCTCGATGACGCGTTGCCATTTGCCTTCGCTGCGGCAGCTCTCGATTAGCGCCTCGACCTTGGTCGTGTTGTTGCGCGTGCGATTGGCCATAACGGTTCACTAATTGCAGCTGCACGCGGCCAGCACGTTTGTTGCGTTCCAATAGGGTTTATATTCCTTATTTTAATTTGATTAAACAATTTTTTTGCAACATACGCGTATAAACACACACACACACACATCACTTGTGACAATCACAGCGTTGCCACCTGTTACGATTTCAAGGTTACGTGTGACATTCCCTTCCGCACATTACGTCACACGCTCAGCCAGTAGGCCATTATTAAGGGATATATGTTATTAAAAGAATCCTTAAGATCGGCAAGCAAAGCACACTAGCTTTAGAATATTTTAGGTATAGCTTAACTAGATCAGGGTTCCTTAGTTCGGGTATCAAAACGTAATAAATTTAAAAACAATGGTTTCATTATTATATTTATCTAATTAGAAATAATATAATACTCATTTTATATGCTGACACATTTAACCTATAGACCCCACGTTTCTTTTCCTTGAGCTGCGAAGTCTTATCTTCTAGTTATTAGCATGGCAAGGGCTGCCACTGCACAAAGCACAGCTGATTGTCAAACGCCACCAAATTTAGACAATTTTCTGCATAAAATCAGTATTTTCTACTTAATTCCTTGGTATTTTTTGTTGGTGCAATGCAGTCACACTCAATGCAGTGCTCTTTTTGTTGTTGTGTGATACGCACGCGTTCTGCTCGAATTTTCAGCAAAAATAAGAAATATGTAAATGCGGCATTTTAGTGGCAAAAAAAATTATTTAAATCAGCAGTTTTTAAATTAACAAAGTTTAAATGAACAAAAAACAAACAAAATGTGTTTTGAATATTGGTGTGGCGATTTTTTATAGTTGCGCTTGCAAATTAAATTGCGCTAAATTAAACGAATAACTGTATATAGCTTGACTGCACTCATAAAACTAACGGTAAGCTGTTTTGTCTGTTTATATTTTGTAATTTAGCTAAAAGCACAAATACATGCGCACACGCCCCATAGAGCGCGGTGTGACCGTGCGTATGTAATCTCTGCTGTCTGTGCGTTCATTGTGTGTTTGTGTGTGTGTGTGCCGCCGATTTGGCTAACGCTCAGCTGTTTAGTTGGCCGCGTTGTTGTTGCTGCAGACGCCGCAACCGACGCGCTCACACATGCATGCATTTGCATATGTGTGTGTGCGTGTGTATACACGCCACTCGTGAGAAAGTGAGAGTATTTGTGACATGCAATCAATTGCGTGTATTTATTGCAGTTTATCAATTTTATTTAATGCATCATTGCACCTACTCACTCTTATCTGTGTAAATGAGTCTGTGTGCACTCACACACTCACATTCTAATTGGAAAGCTGTCACACGCATACACTCACACACACCACTTGAGCTTTTGATTTGCATTTACCGCTCACTGACATCTTATTCAAGTTCAATTGCAACAATTCGTAATTTTTATTTTCTGTCAATTTTACGCTCCATTTGAGCGGTAAAAAAAAGCACTCGGCTTTTATCGCGTGCCTTCTCGAACGTTAAGTTAATTGCCTGAGCTTTTTGCATGTCAACTGCGGCCGCTTGGGCGCCTTTGCCCTATTAGCGATTCATTGCATGTTCTAACAATAAAAATAACAAATTATTACGTAAAACAAACATTTAAATGCACATTAAAAATAAGCGCACAAGAAAAAAGTCAGCAATGGCCAAGAAGAAAATGAACGCAAAACGCGCGCCAAATTATTATCCCAAGCAAATCAAAACAAAATCAAAAAGGACGGCAACGCTGCCCTTTTGAATTTATATGTGTGCGTGTGTGTGCGAGAGAGCGCTTCTTGCAGTGCACAGCTTTCGGCAACGTCGCGGCGTCGGTTTTGCATGCTTATGACGTAATGACAATAATTATAAGGCAAGCGTTGAGTAGTCCGAGCATTAGTGTGTGAATGAGACAGAGAGTGGGAGGATGAGTAGAGGTATCATTATGCGAAATGAAACAGCGCACAGTGGTAGGCAGCTGTTCAAAAACTTGTCATATACCATTGTGAAGTGTGAATGAGCAAAAAGTTGCTAAAATGGGAAATTAACAAATACAATGCTCCCTTGAAAATTATAAAGTCAAGAAATAAAATCTAGTTAAACATTTGAAATTACATTTACAATGTATTGGAAGTCTAGAAGTGTTTAATTCCCATGTTGGGTAATATATTGCACTACTATGGCTATGTGAAATCATTTATTGTTTTAAATTGTCTCGCCTTATATATCTTAAAATAGAATTTACAAATGAAAACAAAATCTAGGTGTGGCTCGTGCTATTGTCGTGCCGCCGAAACCTCAAACACGCGCCCATCTCTAATTTGCATGAAAACGAGTAATTAAAAAATCCTAAATGCTGTTGCACTGTGCAACAAGCAGTTCGCATCCTTTGCTGCTCTGTTTGCTTTCTGCCCTGCCAGCAGGTGGCTGCGGTGTGTGTGGCTGTGTGTGTGTGTTTGGGTATGGGGATTGTGGGGCGTACAATTGTTTTGTGCTTAGGGGGGCGCCAAAGTCGTTGCCATTACAGAGAAAAAACATGCATGCTGCGCTTAACGGTATATGTACGTCGACGCCGACGTCGTCGCTGCCTTCAAGCGCAGTCGAAGATGTGGGACACAGACAAAGTGCAAGAACAGATGTGGGGCAGGCAGAGCGCGTTAAAACGTTTGCGAATTGAAACATGTCTGCCCGCCCACTATCTCTCTCTCGCTCTCTCTCACACGCTGGCTGGGTGAAACATTTTGGCATGCGAAACGAACATTCGCAGCTACGTTTTAAAGCTGTTCGCTTGTTATTGTTACTTCTGCTGCTGCTGCTGTTACTATTGCTGTCCTCGCTCTTCTTGCTACCGTTTTATTTTTATTTTTCTATTCTTTTATTTTTCGTCAATTGTGCGAGTATTTTATTGCGCGCACATTTTGACTTTGGTGTTCACCCGTTTTTGTGCGCCTTTGTTTACTTTTGTTGTTATAGCGTCACGTTTTGTTGTTTTGTTGTTGTTGCGATTTTTATTTGCATGCGACGCTTTTGGCTTTGCGCACTTGTGTTTATTTGCTTGTTGCTTTTTTGGCAGGTGCCAGCCTCACTGGCCTACCTCCCCCCCTCACTCCCTCCTGGAAGTCCACTCATTAAGTTGCCGCATATTTATATCTTTTAAGAGCGGCTGTGACTCTTTGGCTTTGCTGGTGCTTTGAATAGCTTTGCTAATACCCTGTAGATAGGTAACAAAGTTCCTTCCGCCTAGCTAAACAGGGGTGTTTTTAGCATGAAAATATTGACGTGGAGTAAATGAAAAGAGGAAGCACAACAACTGCTCATTCGACACATCTTTCGTATGTGTGTGTGTGTGTGTGTGTGTGTGTGTGTGCTGTGTACGCATTTACGTAGAATTTCATATTACGGCCACTTGAAGCTGGTTACGTGGTATCTTCTCGTTGTTCACGCTCGACTAGAGCACTCTTGTTTTTTCTTTACCTGTATTTGCCTGCCAGTCACGCGCTCTCTGCTCCAACTTTGGGCACGTAACTCTTTTTTTTGTGCGTCTTTTTATGCGCTCCCGCTCGCACCCCTTTCGTCGCGCAACAGTCGCATGTTCTTTGGGCATTTTGATGGACACATTTGCTGCCACTCTCTGGCCTCCCTTCCGCTCTCTTTCGCTCGCTCGCTCGTTCTCTACCTATCTCGCTCTAGACGCTTAGCAAATTACACCATGTCAAAGGCTTTAGTTGCGTTTATTTCTTCATTTCTGTTTTTGCCTTTGCTTTTTGCACTTTAATGGACTTTAGAAGCTGAAGCTAAAACTTTGCTGACCTCCTTTTTGGCGACATCTAACGAATGCCCCACACCCTAGCCCCCCCGCTTGCCATGACTTTTTCTACGGCAACTTTGATGTTAAGAGATAAGGCTCATAGCGAAGCATTGCTGACTTTGTCTTCAATTTCGTAGGACTTTTGTGCTCTGCTTGTTTCTTGTTTTTTTTTGTTCTTGTCATGTGTTTCGTTTCGTCGTCTGCTTTTGCCAGTTTCTTGGCCATAAACAAGTGCCAAACATAAACATGGCATACATTTTGCCTATACACACGCACACACACACATAACTCTCGGCATCTTGCGCTCTGCTTGTAACGAGCGCCCCCACCCACCGCAGCATACGCCGACCCTTCGACCACACTTTTTATTGCTATAGCGCGACTATCAATAAAGTTCGATTTCTCTGTGTCTGCGCATATGTGTGTGCATGCATATGCCTAAAAGTGTCTGCTGTGTGTGTGTGTGTGTGTGTGTGTGTGTGTGTGTATGTGTGTATGTGCATGGCTCATAAATCAAGTTAAACTAAACAAAAGAAATAAAAGGAAGAATTTGTATTATCTAAGTGCCGACAACTAAATACTCTTGCATACATAAATGAAGGATATTATATATAATATTTCTATTTTATATTGCATTTCTTTATTTTATCATTCACAATTTTCACAGCTACATGAGATAGTTTATTATACAAAACAGAATTTCATAGTAATTAAATCATTTAAAACAAATCAATTTTGTATAAAGTACCTCGTACTAGTATGAAGGAATATACTTTAATGGCCCGCGGATATGTGTCACATTCTTCGTTACAAAGTCGTAATGGCCTTCGGCAAGTGTATAAAGAGAACGAATAATATAAAGCAGCAGCAAAAGCAAACAAATAAATTTATGTTTGGCCACGCTTCTTACTACGCTTTATGCCAATATTTCTGCCAGCACCACCTACATCTTCTCTTCTCTCTACCTCTTCACATTTCTCTTCTCTATGATCAGCACACACACGCCCCTCGCTATCTCTTCCGCTCATCGCTGCCTTGATTACAGCAGCGAAAAAGCGCTGGCACAGCACACAAAACAACAAGAAACGATGACGACGCTTGACGTTGACGTCGACGTCGACGTCGCTGCTGCTGCTACCTTTTCTACTGCTATTTTTAACATTTGCAGCAGCACTACACACACACGTTCAGACATTTATTTGTGTGTGTGTGTGCGTGTGTGTGTGCATTACATTTTGAAGTTGAAAACTTTTTGTTGTGCTTTATTGCTTAATATTTCACAGCGCCTCGACGCTTGCTGTTGCCAATAAAAAAAAGTTATGACACCCCCTCCGCTTTTCCACTCATTCGCATTCTCGCCCTTTCACATTCAATTTCGCTTGCAATTCTTTTGCACAAGTTCATTTTTGTTGTTGAGTTAAAGTTGGCATCTTCGTTGAGTGAAAGGGGGAGAGGTGGGCACGTATGTAACTGAACTTGCATACAAGTTTAAAGCTTTAAGTTTCGGTTGCAAATTAAAGCTTTTTGCAATGTTTTCAAATTGTATGAGCAATTTTGGTTGTTCATTAATTTTCCTTGTGTGTTATATATTCAATATATGTTTTAAAAATAAAATGAGTGTTTTACTTTTCAGCTACTCCTCGACAAAAGTTTTCCATTTCATTTCAAAATGACATCAACAACATTTTGTACATAATTTATAAGAACAGCAACAACAACGAAAGTGGCAACAGCGGCAGCGTCTGAGTCAAATGGCCAGAGCGCTAAAAGAAAACAAAAGCAGAGCAGCAGCAGCAAACGCAACAACTACAACAACAAGAAACATGAATGAAAAGCAGCGCAGCTGCCGTTGCTTTTGTGCGGGGCGAAGCGCAAAACTAAAAATACGAATTTATATGCAAAACATTTCAACTTGCTTGAATTTCAAACATTTTTCGCCAGCTTCGCTCCTGTGTCATGCCTATTAATGTGTGCCTGTGTGTGTCACACATACATACATATGTACATACGTGTGTGTGCTTGTGTGTTTTTAGCTCAAAGCTCCAACTGAGCGCGCCTGCAACGACAAATGACATTTGACTGCGTCGGCGGCAGTCGTCGTGTATGCGTGTGTGTGTGTGTGTGCGCGCTCAATGCTCAGTGCCTCCCATCTCCCGTTTGTCCCATTCAGACCGCAGTTGTCGCCCCACTTAGCGCTCTTTCCCACACAGCCGCTCTTATTTTTTTTATTTTTCTTGTTTACTCTCATATTCATTTGCATTTTTATGCGTCGACGTCGACGTCGTTGTTTTGGAATTTTATTCACTTTACATTTTTTTCGTGCCTTGTTTTATGCTATCATTTGTTGAAACAAATACAGTTTTAATGCTGCGTCAGAAGCTGTAATGTGTTTATTTTAGCATGGCATGGTATTATTTTAATTGATTTTAATTAATTTCAAATAACTCGAATAGATTAATAGACCCTTTATTTTGTTTCCCCTCGCCGGCAAAAAAAAAAAAAAATTGCTGAAGTATCATGGAATTGACACACTGTCATTGATTATCGCCCGAAAGGGACATTAGAGTGCGCCTTGAAAAAAAATGCAATGGGTGCATTGTTCAAAAGAGAACCTCATATGTAAAATGTTAACTACAGTTAAAGCTCGCTATAAACGATTTTTTTGCTGGTAATAAATAGCTGCTGTCTGACTGCAAATCTGTTTTATAATTGTTTAAAATGGTGCACGTACTACCATTAATCAATAAAAGAGCACTTAATTTGTCTCATCAACAATTTCCACGTTTGTTCATTTAAGCTGTGACTCACAGTATTTACCTAGCAGCTGATTTAATTACTGTGCGCCAGGTATTGCATGCTCAAGGGCCAATTTATTATAATGCAAACTGACTGATAATCAATACTTGCACACACACACACACACAGTCTACATGCATACACACGCACACATATGCACAGGCTTTGCCATATTCACCTCTGTCAGTACTCGCTTCAATCTATGCACATAATTTCACTTAAAACTTTTTTGCTTACCAAACGTAATTTACCGCTGTTCCATTTCATTTTCATTGTGTGTGCCATAGACGACTCGAATGAAAGAGAGCCAGACTGCTAGAGAGCGGGTGTGTAGAAGGGAGCGGCAGCAGCAGCAGCAGCTTACTGCTTCTGGCATTGTTTTTGCTGCCGCTGCCGCTGATGCTGATGCTGTCTGGGTTGGTTTGCGCGACTGCTTTTGTTTGTGCCGTTGTCTTTTGTCGTGTCTTTTGCACATTTTTAATCCACGTTAGTGCATCTGTCACAGCCGCTGCCGGCGTCGCAGCGCCCCATTAGTGAAGAGCTTTTGCTCTGCGTTTTGTTTTCAATTTGCCAAAAGAGACAGATGGCTGATGACCTTGACGCGACAACAGCAACTGCAATAAATAGTTGCACAAACATGTTTAAATTAGCCAGATACTGATAAATACACGAAATTCCTAATTTAGCTATACAAAAATAAAAGGTATTTAACTTTTTAATCAATCATATTTTTCGTTTTATTTTTTTTCATGCCTTTTTTTATATGTGCTTGTAACAGTTCGTGACACTGCATGTCTCTCCAGCTGGTCAACGAACCTGCTGCCGTTGCTTTGTTAACAAATAAAACTACAAGCTGTTAGTTTTTATTATCTCAACAAATTGACAACAACAACAACAACAACAGCAGCAGCAGCAGCCGCAACAACAAGCGAGCAATGCTCATGATAATTTCAACTGGCGACGCCAACTACTCAAAGGGGGGGCTAGGGGGAAGCGTTGCTTGGGAAATATGAGCTGAAATTATCGCAAAAAATAAAAGTAACGCCTACAGTTGCTTGGGGTTAGTTGGGGCAGTCCGTGATTCGGGCGAGTCGATTAACACACGTTACACGCATTTTCAATTTTAACGAAAACAAAAAGTAAAACCAAAAGCAAACACAGACACAGCACAAAGACGCGGACGCATGCACTTACACACACACACACACACACACACACACACACACACACGCACACACACACACCCGTGCAGCAACTAGAAATAAGCTGCAAAAGCAACCGCAAAACGGGCGACGATGATTGTAAAGTTAGAGTCCAGCAATGCACAGTGGGTGTGATCTTGCAATAAACTGTCAAAAAATCATTTTAATGTGCACACTGCCAAAACTAGAATACTAAATTTTCTTTTAATATAAAAATATGTAGCTTAATAAAGTAAATGCAAACTAATCTATATTAATTATTAAATTAATGTATTCCTCCTAAACTACAAATATTGTTTTACAGTAAGTTTTTTTTCTTACTGCCCAAATTTATTTTACCAAAACAACTTGCCAAAACAAAGTGTTCAATAAATTAACAATCGTACTCCATTGTTTCGTATCCACTGTGCGAGGCTGTGACCCAACCGCGTCGCTGCCCCCGGCAATTCGACTGCCTCAACGTGAACGACGACATCGTCGAGTGAGTGTGCGATAACTTTGACAACGATAAATTGTGTTATGCTGGCTGCCGACGCCGTCGACGTCGACGTCGTCGTCGTTCGTTCGCCTGAACCAAAAGAAAGAGCGAGAACGCTGTAGAATGGGAGATGGGAGAGTCAAAGCGTTTTGTCGCCGCTCCTCGCATCGAATTCGTTTGCAGCGCACGGTGCGTTCGTCGTCCTTCTCTACTGCACTTGTCGTTTCTTGTTGTTGCAGCGGCTGCTGCTTTGGCTGCTGCTGCTGCTGCTGCTGTTGCTGCACCTCAGCCAAACGCTCCATGTGGCAATGGCAACTAACTGGGCGCCGTTCAATGTGCGCTTATCACATTATTTTGCTATTTATGGTATTGCTTGCAATATTTCCTTTCTTTTTTTTCACTTTTTGATAACATAATACAAGTATATACATACATACAAATATGTACATTTGAATCCTCGTGCATCTATATATTTACATACACACATGCATATTACATACACACCTTTAATCTAAAGTTTGTTAGGCTGCCAGCAGCAGTTGTTAATATCACACTTGTAATCAAAGCATGCAAAACGTGCAACACTTACTTAAATTCGTGAGAATCGCGGAGTAGAGCATTTGCTAAAAATAGCCTGTCTTCAATTTGTTACGCAGCGGGGGAGACTTATCTGTCTTTGCTAAATAAAAACATACATACGTACACGCACATATACATACACACATATACATACATGCACACATATTAACATACACATAACTACACGTGCATACAAACAAAAAGTGAAGTTCACTGTATAAATACATAAAAACTTTCTGTGAGCTGGGGTTGCTGTTATTATTTTCTGTTTATTTTATTTAGTCTTATTTTGTTGCTGTTGCTACAACGAATTTGATGCGCTGAGAAGTATGCGCACACTGGTTCCAGTTGCATTTATCCATTCGAAAGCTATTCCGCCAAATTTTATTTAAATGCATGTGTATGTGTATAAATTAGAGTTCGAAATATAAGCATAACGAGTATTTTTGGTATTTGAAATTTTAAAAAGTACCATGAAATTGACAAATATTCAACTCCATTCATCATAATTTTCCTGAAACTTAGATCAGTTAACCTATATCATATATATTAAACCAAGTTATTTTTGCATGATATGATATCTTAATATACCCACCCTGTATATATATACTCTTACTTTAAAAACAGCTTAGCAATGATTTTTAATTTTATTGTTAAAGCCATTGCAAAACTCATTAGTTTTTATTTTATCATTGAATCGCACTACTGTGCGCTACTGCTTTTGCTTTATTTATCTATAAATTGAATTGAATTTACTTATTACCAAGTTTTAATATCAAGATATTTTATTTTGAGAAAAAAAAAAAACTAGCAAACCATACAACAATAATATATATAAAGCTAGTCTAACTTTGTCTCTATATAGATATGCCCTTACTTTGAAAACAGCTTTGTCTAGATTTTTAATTTTTAGACAATTGAAAAACTCATTAGTTTTCATTTTACAATTGAATCGCACCACTGTGCGCTGCTGCTATTGCTGCCTTCGCTTATCGTTCGTTTGGCTTGTCAATAATGCAATCAATTGTGTAGTTTGATTAAAGAAATATTATTATTATTATTATTATTATTATCGTCATGCATTGTACGTCCGTCCGTCCGTCTGTGTGTGTGTGTGTGTGTGAGAGCTTCTATTACATTTATCGTTTATTGATGTTGCATTTTGTGTCACAATTTGCGGTTGGAAGTTACATACAAGTTACGAATACACTGTGCTGCCTGGTAAAAGAGCTTATCTCGTGTATATATACATGCATACAAGCACCTGAACATACACACATACATGTATATATGTATATGTATATGCTATGAAGTGAGGCGCATCATTGCCAAGGACGTTGTAGCTGTAATTTGTTTGTGACGTCATCAGTTTTGTAGGAAAATAATATAAAGAGATTTTTGTTTATTTGTTTTTTTTACAGCTTCCATATTTTCAGTTACAAGTGGGCCTTTGGTGGGTTACTCAAGCAATGATTGATAACGGTAAGTCAAGTTGTAGCAGTTATTATTTAAATAACTTTTTTGATTTTGCAACGTTGCCCAATTTCAATTTGTTTTAATGTGTTACAATTTTTTAAATTTTTCGTAAAAGTTGGTTAAGCAAAAGCAAAGCTGCCAGTTTATATGCGTTTTGTTGACGTTTCTGCTTTTTAGGGGTCAACAGTCAACAGGCAATGTTTAACATCCTTTTTTTTTTTACAATGAATACTAATAGAGTTTAATAAATGTTGCAAGTTCAACTGCTTAATCCTTTTATATAGTCAAGCCTTTTTAAATACAATTCTTAAATTATATTATTAATTTAATTATCAGCTTTCAATTGATTTCCATTTTTTTTTTAATCATTTTTTTTCATTTCTAATCAAATTTGAGCAATTTGCAACGTTGCCACACTTCAGCATTGAACTTCTGATGGCAGCACATGGCAAATAACGGCAATAACTTTACGCTTTGTGAGATGTGTAACTAAATTAGATGAAGCTTAATTAACTTAATACGTTGTTTATGGGCGCCCATGTGAAATGCGAATGCGATTGCCATGGGTTAAATTCACACACATATATACAATCATACATGTGTATGTGTGTACGTACAGTGTGCGCGTTGGGGGAACTTGAAACCTAATCAAAAAACTTTGCTCTATTACCCCCCCCCCCCCCCCCCCCCCCCCCATTCCTTGCGCAAATAATCCAATTAGCTGTCATACGGAAAAAAACAAAAGATAGAAATAACCGAAAATTATAAGCAACACGTAGTCTAGTAAAAATTATGCATGCAGAAATTGTAGTTTTGATTGTTTTCTTGCGGCTTACAATTTATAAAAAATGTTCATGTGCAGTAAATGCAACAATATAAAAACAAAAACAACTGTCACAAAAGTCATATGCGCTGTCCTGGGATCCAACAGGAACAGCAACAACAAACGACAAAAAACAATGTAGACAAACCACCGCTGCGACGCTTTTGGCACACAAATCTCAATTTAAAACAATCAAATGGAATGAAACAACATAAACCAAGTGAAAAAAACACAGCGACAACAACAACAGAACGACAGCAACAGAAAACAACGCAAAACTGTAAACAAACGAAATATGCACAGCTACATGCACACAGACAAGTGGTAGCGCACACATGCACACCAACTGGCTATGGCGCAATACACATACATATGCACGCACACACTCGCAGACATAGACACAGTCTCGCTCACTCGCACTCATGCGCCTCCTGTTTGTTCACCACACTCGGAGCGTTGGTCTCGCCGAAATGTCTCACCGTCGTCCCGTCGCACATGCTCCGTCGTCAGTCGGTCGGTCTGTCGGTCGGTCGGTCAGGCAGTCGTTTCGTCGTGTTCATGCGTTCCGCTACAGTGTACAAACGGCTACAACGCAACGCCTTGGCAATGAAACGTTTCAGTTTCTGTTAAAACGTGAACGTGAACGGTTCGTGCAAGTCGGACGACAGTTTGTTCGCAATAATTATTTATCTGTGTGCGGCAATCACGAACGCTAGAGCAGCTGTAAAAAGACCGACGGCAAAACAAGCATAAATTAAGCCGAGCATTTGTCGAGCGTAACAAAGTGACTAAACAGCCGGCCAGGGCAAGGCTAATAAAAGTAAATAAACAAAAGGGCAGGCAGCGAAAATTGGCAGTCAGCATTATATTGTTTTTTACATAAATACATAGATACATGCTTGTAAGTATAACTGTTTTAGTCTGTGTATGCATATACATACTAGATGTATATATTTAGTGCAAGTGTCAAAAAGCCAACTAAAAACAACAACAACAACAATGACAATCTGTGTTTAAATAGCGCACAGCAACAACAATTCAAGATATTCGGTGTATGCGCTGCTTGCTTCTTCGTCGCTTTGCAACGGCGACGTCGACGTCGACGTTCGCCACGACATTTGCACGCACCGTGTGCTGAGTGCTGCTGAACATGCTTGAAATGTTGTATTGCGCCATGTGCAAGTCAGGTTGTGCGCTTTTGTGACACTGTGCGTGAAAATAAAACGTATGGAAATGAAACGAACGGGCTAACGAGCAGCAGCAGCAACAACAACAAAAGGAAATCCTATAAATAAGAGCAAGAATATTTATCAATAAATAAGGCCTACACAACAAAAAAAAGAAAAAGAAAAACAGATGAGAAAATTAAAGTATTTTAAAATGAAATGAGCCTAATTCCGGCACGCTCTTAAATGTTTGATTAAAACTTAAACGTTTATAATTAAACGAACAGCGAAGTGTAAACCAAAGTGTGAGCGTGTCTGTATGTGTGTAGGTGTGTGTGTGGGTGTGTGAATGTCACACGACAGGCGCCTTTAAAAGTTTAATAACGAAGTTATCAGTTTTTTTTGGCGCAAGTTTCTGCGATAGTTAAGAAACTCGTTAAAAATAAGCAGTTACAAAGAATTGATGTGTTTCCTGAAAAATGAGTTGAAAAATTAACGGCATACTTGGGAAAAAAAAATACGTGGTATACATTACTCGTGCTTTATTGTCATGCATCACTGTGCACTTTCTAATTGCTGACATGTTTAGGCTAACCGTTAATTGATTGCGGTAAATTGCAACGTTGCCAAATTGCAGATGACTTAACTGTGTGTGTGTGTGTGTGTAGCTGCGACTACAGTGATCGCTGGCAAATGAAAACTCGAATTTGAAATACAAATTTTCAAATTGAAAATGTCAATTTAAAGTTCCACAAATTCTTAAAGCCGAAAAAATTTCGCACATATTTCCAAATAGTTTAGATAAACAACAAACTGTTTTATTTCTAAATTAAGCTGATATTTTACGCAGTGTATGTAAATAATTTTGTCCCAATCCAAATTTTTAATGTAATACATAATTGTGAAGTTACAAAACAATTTTCATAATTCATTTAATATTTTTTGCATAATTAAATCAGGCTGTGGCTAAAATGTTGGACAATGTTGTCGCAGGGAGGATAATCGAACTACCGCCCCCTGCTCCCCCTTTGTCGGACGCATGTTGCAACATCGTTAAAATGTCTGCTGGCAATTAAATTTGCATAAATTAGGCATGCTAAACGCATTTAACGCACGTGTGTGCAGCCATAAGAACGTATTAAAACAAAAAAAAAAAATAATTTTTTAAGATGAAAGGCGCAAAACAAATGAAATGTTTTTTTTTGTTTTTGTTTTTGTTTATGTTTGTTTTTGTTGCAGCCTTTAATTAATCACAACAAATGGCCAAGCAACGGCAATTTGCACATCGTCGAGCACAAGCAATTTTAATGAAGTAGAACTAATTTCTAATTAAAAGCAACATTAAAACGTAAAGCAAAATAAGGCAAACTAAATGCAGACTGAAAGAGAGAAACCAAAAACAACAAAAAAAAAAAGCATCAACGCAATGGACCGAACTAAACCGAAAAGACGACTAGAGCAAGCGAGATAGCAACAAGAAGCTGCTTAGTTGCGGCGATGCCAGCGTCGGCGTCGGCTGCGACTGCGACAGCGGCAGCGGGCAATAACGAGTTTAAAGCTCCGCTAGCTGGAGCACAACGCACTTACACACACACACACACACACGCACACTCATGCACAAGCAGCGCGAGACAGAGAGGAGACTCTCACATGCCATAGCGTAAAAGTTCTATACTTTTATGCTTTTATTTTGCCAGCCCAAAAATAATCGCTTTATGATAAGCAAAAAAAACAACAACAACAAAAAACCAGCACAAGCGTTCCAACTGCCTCTCTCGCTCTCTGACGGTGTGTGTGGAAGCAAAAGACGAACAAATAAAAAACAAAAAAAAACAGCGGAACGGCACAAGCGTCAGCGCAGCAGCAGCGCTGCAGCAGAGCCGCATACAATTTATATTTGCTTTTAATGCTTGTTGCTGCTTTTTGCTTGCAAACAAATAAAACTGGTTTTCGAGTCAATTAAGCAAACCAAAAAAGGCAAAAAAAAAATATATATTATATCTATGTATATTTATATATATATATATATATATATATATATATTTATATATATATTTATATATATATATATATATATATATATATATATATATATATATATATATATATATAGCAAACGAAGAACTAAGAAAATTTTTGGTACGTTTGCATTTTGCCGCTGCGATGAAGCAGAACGGGAAGAAAACCGAAAAAAAGAAAAACAAAGTAAATGTGACAATGGATCAACTTTTCAATGTAAACAGCTGTGCAGAGTGTAGAGACGAGCGGGTGGAGGAGGAGGGGGGGTGAAGTAAGCTAACATAACATAAACTGGAAAGCTCAATTTGGTAATAATACTGTTAAGAGTATTTATGTAAAAACTTTTTATTATGTCGCATCAAACATGCAAAGACTTTTATTTATTGCATGTCAAATGCGAAACTAGTTAAAAGCCTGCAGTCGGCTGCTACCGACTGCCCAATACTCTGTTCACAGCTGAAAGCAGTTGTACAGAGTCTGCTTGTTATAATTGATGACTCTTAAACTGTGCGGGACTTTCAAACTGTGCAAGTCAATTAAATATATATGCTCCTTTTTGTGAGAGGCAGTGGGCGTGGCGAACTTCAGAAAATTACATCAAGTATCTTCATATGAATGAGCGCACAAACAAAACATATATACCCGTTTTAACTTTCTGTGCGGGGTATAAAACACACAAGCAATTTTAAGCCAGAAATTCTATATAATGAAATAGCTTAAAATAAATCTGCACTGATTCAACTGTGTGTCACACTCAAAGCTGAATTCCAATCCAGGTAACAAGATAATTTCCAGCTATCAGAAATATGCGTAAAATAAATGAAAAAGGAAATTTGAGACAGGCAACGGCCACAAAAAGTCTTTTGTTGAAAGCGAAATAAAAATGAGGAAAACAAATGAAAATAGAAGCAAGGCAAATGTCGACTGAACGAATTGCAAATCTGAAAGCCATTGGCTATACATACATATATGTATATGTGTGCACATTTATATGCATA